TGGCTGAAATAAGAATGTTGATAACTGTATTACCCCTTAAAATAATACGTTGTAGAGGATGAACAACCTAAATTTGCCACCATGATAACTCAGAAACGATTATAATTTTTGAGATAATATTAAATGGAAAACTTTCACTATATTTTTCATTAAATATTAACAGTACTTTTCCGATTTAAACTTGGAGATGAAATTCAGAGAATAAAGAAGTTAAAAAAATTGGATTTACATTTAAAAATACCATAAAATACAGTTCCAATTATAAAATTATCCGTTTTTTCTTTTTACAGAGTTGAATCAACTTTGTAATGCATTTTACAATTTTTGATAATGTAGATACGATTTTAATACATATTCATATTTTGTGTTTCCTGTGCAAACTTATTCGTTTGTGAGCTATATGATGCAGATATAAGTAAGATATTTTTCTTAAGTGAAAGATTCTGTCACTCCCAAACGAGTGGCTTTAGAGAAAGAATGTCAAGAATAAAAACTTGTTAAAATGCATGATTTAAAAATAATCATAAAATACAGGATCTTCTATAAGATAGTTAGACGCCATATTGGAAATGGAAGCATTTTAATAAAAGTGGAATTTATAATGTTTAATGGTATACAAATGTTTTGAAGTTATTTTCTCTAAATATAATAGTTTCTCAGATAGCAAAAGGGCCATACTTAAATTGTTCATCCGGTATAATAATAATATAATGTTAACAAAATGTAAATTAACTAGAAGCATGATTTAATTGCAGTTCCATAATCATAATTAAATAAAAAGAGTACTGCATGTATTGCGAGCGAGAATGGTCATATTTCTCGTCTTAGCTATTTTCAGTAATTATAATCTAAAATAAAATAAAAATTAAGAGCTAAAACCAAGAGTTGAAAATAGTGTTTAATGAGAATATAAACACATTTTAAGCTTCCAGAAAGGTTCATTAACTCTTCTTAGATATTTAAAACAGTTTGGGCAGCTTCAATAACTAATCATACGTGTGAACATATATTCCATGTATTCAACATGTATTCCAGTCTTAAGTTGACTTAATCAATCATTAGGGAATATTTATAGAGAATTCAAATGTTTGTGTTGCCAAAGCAAACTTTTCTAGTAAACACTACAGCTAAGATTAATTGAAGCGAAAATGAGGACCGTAGTCGAAACCATTGTTGTGGCATGCTAGTTAGTTCACAAAATCACCGAGCTCCACTAGCGCTAGTCAGTGCACACCTTTGAATAATAATGCGTCATTTTCATAATCAAACATGGCCACCTATCTGCCTTGTAAATCAATTGTTGACACATTGCCATTGTACTTAAATTGCAGGTATTAAATGTTGATCCTGCGTAGACTAGCGCAATTGAATGTCTCTGTGTTTAAAATGTCAGACACATATTGATGAACTTTTCCACTAGTTTTACTAGTGTAACTATATTTTGTGGTAATAATATAGAGAAATCAAGTTTTAATATTAGTTTTGACACATTTCTAACGTATTTTGGATCTGCAAATAAATTAGGGTCCACATAAGGAAATCGTTGATCATAAACTTCGGTGATAATATTGTTCTGTTTTAGTTCAAATAATACTATTAGTGTCATTAATGATAGTATCCCCCTGGTTTCCGTAATTAAATAACGTCATCTAATAAAGTTGGTGATGACTTGTTATTACCTTTCTTTACATCCTAAGAAGCCGAGCTCTATTCAGGATTTTTAAATGCGTTACTTTAAGCTTAGACTAAGCCGAGGAGGACACGGCACTTTTGTATAGCTAAAAGGCAGAATAAAGAATAGGTTATTGCATTTGATATAAGTAAAGATAAATTTTGGAAAGTAGCTCTTGTAAATGGGTTCACATAAACCCTTTGTTATTTTAGTATACATCATTTTAAAAACTAAAATAATGAATAGGTAGATTAGTTAGAAATAATTAGTTAGAATAGTTTTGCTTAGGGTAAGTCTTTATCTCTAAACTATTATGGAGTAATGTATTTAAAAAACCTAACAAATAAAGCAAAACTGGTCAGTCAGTAACTTGTAATCAAACAATCGCAGTTTGTAAACACATAATATATTTTTTTATTTTTGTATTTAAGTATAAGATATTAATCGTTTGTTTACTCAAAAATCGAACAACAACTGAAGGTAGAGTGCACAAACGTTTCATATAAATATTTTACCCGATAACAGTAAAAAACATGAGATAAAGAGCAAATATTCAAGTATTTTCCTACTCGCTCTCTCCTCCGTGCTATTTTTAGCACAGTCTCGTCGCTTGGCACGATTGTTAGGGTCAGGCATCGCGGTCGCCCTCCCTAGTGGAAAATATTTAAAATATTGTATTTTGTAAAATATTAAGGTGTGTCATCTCAAGTTTCCTGCTGTAAAATTCTAGCTGATCGCAGTTTCATTTTGATGTAGTTGAGAAAAGTTAAGACGATTTACATGCACTGGTAACTACATAATTTACAAAAATAATAATTGTGCGAAAAGTCTCGGTTCCCCGCTACACTAAAAATACAGATGGTCAAAGATGTGGAAACTTTGTAGATTTTAATTTTTTTGTATAATCAATCAAATGTTTAGTACTAGTGTTACACTAGGTCTTCTAACAAAACAATTATTTCATTATCTATGTATATAGGCCTATTGGTTTATTGCAAAAATGTTCTCATAGTGTTCTGAGCATAAAATGTCATCTATCATAAAATGTTATCGTGAAAAATTCGATTGAGCCCGATGATTTGAATGGATTGAATATGATTAAGTTGCAGTAAAAAGCAAAGATTTTAGAAGTTATTGTTTGTATTGATTCACAAAACAGCCATTACTAACATTTCTTGCTTTTGCAAAACAATAAAAACATTACTTGTTTGAGGTCAATATAATTTAGACTTTACTTTAAATATTTATTTATCACATTAGAGCAAGTTATCTTACGGTGCTACAGGTTAAACATAATTTAACTTCACTACACCTAATCCACCAATATCATCCTAAAAAAATGCCTTTAACTGCTCATAAACACGTTAACAAAACTTAATAAGTGCCCTGAATATGTTTTTATAATAATAAGCAGGGATGAACATTGATGAAAGTAAACAAATTAGGTAACATGTGTGCCATTTTAAACAGTTTATAATTTATCTTGTAATGAAATTCCACAATTGAACTAATTAGGTTTGTTTTAGCGTTCGAAACAATATGAGGGTAAAGTTATCCAGTTTCTGGTGCTCGGCTTGGTGTGAAATTGAAATGGATCCGAACAAAAAACAAGTTGTTGGAGGAACTTTTTAGTTGAGACCAATTTGTATGTCAGTTTCCACCGTGTAATTTAACCATTTCACAATCCACTCTAGGGTTTTTGTTTGAATCTACGAATTCAATGAGTGTTTTTTTGTAATTTGTTATTTCTTATTACTTTTTGTTGTTTTGTAGTCTTGCAGAGATGTATATTTTAAGTTATTATAAAAAGTTGTTTCTTATGTAGATGTGTTCTTTATGAAATATCATAATGGATTAATAGTCATATATGGTTATAAGAAAATACGAATGTGGAAAATCGTTTATTACAGTCCTGATCTACTAGAGTTTGTGAATTAAATACAATCCTTACATGTAGTGATGGCATAAATGACTAAGACATTTAACTTTAATTAATTAGATATCATTATTACGAAAACTGATGTACTATATCAACATAATTTATTTTTTACGTTTTAAATGTATTCCAATCAAAACTATTGATAGACGTTAGGTTGTAAATTTATCAATATTAAATGTTAAAATATGACTCTTCGACTTTCTTTGCATTTGAAGCGTAGCTCATCATACCTGTTTTTATATTTATTTGCTGTGTAAAAATAGCAGCACCACCATTCTTTAAATGTTGAAACATTCATGCACTTTGCTTTATATTTCCTTCTAATCGTGGTACTTTTCAATCGTTTTATAGGTTTAAGTTCTATTAAATATTACCTTTTGAAAAGTGTCACACGCCGATGTAGGTATATAGCTAATATGTGTAATTTTTACCCTTCACACTCTCCTACTTGCTAAGCACACGATGAAGACGAAATTTATGTGCATTTCTTGTGTAATTAAGTTTGTATTTACAAGATATTGGAACGAATTAAGTAAACTATAACATTTATAATCATGAGTTTGGATTAACTCTGATACATTGTATTTCAACATTGATGCACATATGGCAATCCTCCTTCACCCTTTGAGTTAGTGTATTAATCGTTGAAACGTGCCTCATTCACAAACACAAACCTTAGCTGACAGTTGTTCTTTTAAATAATACTGAAGGGAGGCTGATACATATTTTTTATACTTAACTTTAAAGAGGTTTACATTTTTCCTATAGAATCATCACAAATTGATTGGTTGGATGAATCTCGGTAACCATTTACATAATCTTTTATTTTGAAAATAAATCAAGTATCTTATGTCTTACTTTATACTTTAAATACATATTTTCCAAGATTAAATGAAACTTTTCGTGTTAAATGTGGCAGAAACACAAGGCTCAACCACGATTAAAACTTCTTTGTTTCTTATTGTCAAAAGTAACATATAAACAAATTGTTCAAGCTATGATGTTTGGAAGGACAACATTATATTCTATAGTTCAACTGAAGTACATACGTAGATAAATATAAGATCTAGATTAAAATTAGATTTCAAATCTTATAATTTTTAATCTCTTGATTTTAATATGTCTTTGGAATTCTTTTATCCAGTGGGTGTGAGCTCGGATGTGGGTGTGAGAGCTAGGATCCCGAAGTTCCGGGTTTAAATCCCACCAATCCCCAAAGGATTTTATCCATATGATAATACTTCGACCCTGTAGGAATAGCCTGAAGTAATATTTTAAACAGTCCCAGGCTAGAACTTAGTGGTACGTCGTAGATTCACCCTAGGATATTATGATGAAATCCTAGGACAGTTCAAGGTGTGGAAAAATAATGTTTAGTGCTACACTTACCTCTGAGAGGCGCGTAGATGTTGAGATACAAGCAGTCTTCGCTCTGGTTGCTCAGGTTGTAGCGTACTCTGTCCATATAACCCCACCGTCCTGTGGGCATGGTGGTGTCCGGCCTAGGTGGAAAAGTTTGAGGACAAACTGGACCAAAGGTATCCGCCACCCTGGTTCCCATCCAGGACGGAGGTGACGCTGGTGGCATGAACCTCCCTGTGCCTACAGGAGCCGCTGCGTAGGGGATGCCAAGGTAGACTTCCACCGGGTCTAGGTTCCTGAGGGTGCGGATAGTCCCTTGGAGTAGTCCTTGACGTGTCTCGACGATCCGGGGGCTTGGGTACGGGTGATAGTCGTAGCCAAAGACCAGAGGAATGAAGCTCAGGTGGATGATGTGTAGCATAAACATTTCTGGTGTATATCGAGAAAATATGAGTTTACCTGCACTCAGCAACTATGAGATTCAACACAACACGACGGCCTGACAGTTTAAAATATTTTTGTTTCTCTTAAGGTTATTTTTTTTACAATTACACGAATACCTGAATAAGTTACCGGTTGTGAAGTATAAGATTTACTGCATTAAATATAAAAGGTTACTAGGTTAAATATAAAAAAAATAATACAAAAACCTAAACAGCTAGTTCACTTATGCCCTATAATATCCATACAGTTTGACTCTATACACTATTCTTAGACCTCTTTGTAGTTACATGTCAAAACAATAACTGTAATACTTATGGTGAGACACTCACAATCTAAGCTACTAGAAACCAATCCCGTTCCACCATCGCCATTGGTGATCACACTCAAATTACTTATCCAACATTTGTCACATATTGGTGGCACACTGACACTAGTAAGCACTAAACCGAACACAACACAACACCTATCTGCACACTCGCTCGGATACGCAGACGAGCATTCTGTTCGCGACACCGCGGTCTTGAGGCGACTGAAGACAGAAATAGACACATTTAAAAGTGGAACGAGTGGATACGTACGAGTGAGTGTGTCTGTGTTAGTGTGTATGTTATGTTTGTGGTAGTGACTTTATGGCCCTCGAATGGCATGTGTCATGTTCGTTAACTATTTTTTACTATGTAAACAGTTCTCTGAAAATACCTATTTCGGCAAAACTAGCTATTTACGACGTATAAAACTAACTGTCAGGGTATCTGAGTAGTTCTCTGCATACAAATGTAAATCATTCGTGTCTAATAGTTTCGGATTGTCAAAGAGGGGTTGATTCTAGTCCTATACAATTTTACACTGGAATTTAATTCAATCTAAAGTCCGTTTGATGGTGAACGGCCATGATTTGGACCTTTCGCTTACAAAAACACGTGAATATGAAAAGAGTTAGACCAATGAATAAAGCCCATATTCCTTAGCAATTAGCATTTGAAAATATTTTTTTGAACTGGAGTATACCTTTTTTTACTGAGTAACTACCATTGGATTTATTTGCATTAAAGAGAGGGTTATAAAGAAAAGCGTAATTTTACAATATTCAATTATCTGACTCGACAATCTATCAGCCGTGGGTTTGCCGAGTTTTTGTTGATATATTACTGTAGAACTGTTAAAATACCATAGAAATCATGCTTTACAAACATGTCCACCACTTATAATGTTCTACTTTTGTGTTAGGCTTTTATGCATAGGCTAATGCCTAATTGGTTAAGTGAATCGTTCCGTTTCATTTTTGTGTTCTAATATTTGACGACGGTAAACTAATAGTTTTACGTAATGGAAATAACGAGTAAATTATAACGAGACTTAAAGTTCGTTTGTACGCCGTCATTTGTGTCGTTAAAATCTACAAGGAAAACTATTACTAGGAAAAGTTAATACATCCTAAATTAAATATGACTAATGAAAACGGTTAATTGTGTTTTAGTAAACTGTTAATTAAAACTGTGCTACCAAATAATTTATATTTACATTTAACTGTTTTGATGCCGAAGTTAAGTAAAACATTCACATTGATTCATTAAAGTTAGTTCATCATATCCTACGGCCCTTAGTTGTGAATGAGTAAACTGTTTAGATTAAACGTTGAGGAGATAGAGACGTATTTTTTTTTTATTTTTACGCAAACATGAGCAAATATGAGAAGGTTGGTTGTATTTATTGTGGATGTTTATAGGCATGCACTGTGGATGTGATACTCCCTGGTGTGGATTAACGTCCGCACGAGTGAGTACTACGACTACCTGCAGTACTATCCTGATAATTATACCAATTCGTATATACCAAGGAAAAAATTTGATTCGGATTCCACTATAAACTGTAGGTCCCTTAGTTGCCATTAGCTGTATGAGTTATTAATTAACAGCTGTGTCTAAGGAATGTCGGCCTTAGTCACTAACAAGACTACAAGATCGCGCCACTCATCCTAGACTCATTTCCATTCATACTTGGCTTAAAATACCCACTATGTATGGTCGCCATGTCATTGACCAGTATTAACAGTATTAATAGTATGTATAATGAAGTGAAATGCATTACACAACTGTGTTACTGGCTAACAGCTGATATTTTAAAACTAAAATCATTTATCAAAAGTCCAATGATGAGGGGAGGAAGTAGAGTTTGGGTACAGTTTCAAACCATCAAAAAGCATTTTACTTTTCTCAGATGAAACCGGCGACCAACTGATAAACAAGCAAGCTTTATAACCTTCAAAATTTCCAGTTATCCATGGGTGTACTCAACAGGGGTTAGTTTTTGTTAAATACAAAAAAAAATTTGTAACAATAATGGTACAACTCGAGAAAACTCAATCTAAGTGTTAAGTAACACATAAGGTGTATTGTATATGTTATTAAAAAGAAAACATCTGACTTAAAATATCTGAAAGTTAGCATAATAAGTTAAGGTCATTGTTTAGGCCGAGTACAAAAATATTTAACTGCGCACAGTGATCATGAAATTGAGCCCTATATAATCAAACAATAACGTACAATGAGATGAAAGAAAGTTGGAAAAGCAGTTGGTAAAAGGAAAGAGTTTTAGCATCTCAAGTAAAACGTAAATAATAAAAGATTTCAAGTAAGTATTAATGTAATGGTTTGTCTTTTTAAGAGGAAATCTTGGAGAGATGATTTGCCGGGTGAGTGGCCGAGATTCGGCGGGAGAGTCCACTGTAGCAGTTGGCACCATTGACGGGACTGCGGCCAAATACTGATTACCTTTATTCCCTAACAAGGCTACCAACCTTGTGCCAAAAATAAATACATAATTACTTTGGTTTTCAAAAAAGTAAATATATTATAAGTGTACTAAAACTATCAAGATTCCTGTGGAAAAATATTTTTTTTATTTGAAGAAAGTATAAGTAAGAGTCGTTGTTTTTCGATCTGTTACGACACTTTCCAACCCAAAAGACTTAAGTTGTTAAGAATAATATATTTTAACAGGGTTTACGATCAAAATCACAATTGTAAAACCGAAATACAGCGACCATGTTAAACCAAAACAGCTATCCCTTCCAGGTTCTGATATTTATTCCTAAAAAATATTGCAATGAAATAAATTGAACTTATTACATCGATAATATAAACAAACGTCGTTGCTATTGTGCGCTTACTACAATGCGCTTACGTTGGACTTTAATTCTATAATAGCATTGGTATCAGCAAAAACTCAACAGAGTGTTAAACACTGGGCGTTAGATATGTTTTTTTAAGGTGGTACATGTGGTAGTGATTTTATTGAATTTATGATGACGTATGAAATTTAAAGACCTCGAAATGATCATATCTATTGATGTCTAAAACACAGATATTTGTTTAGTAAAATAAGTGTTTGTTTATCCATGGTAGAAAATTCAATATCTGTAAATATTTTTTTTACTTTACCACATAAAAGTTACATGGTTTTTATTTTACATAGTTTCAAAAAGAAATTAGTTTTTTTCGATGAATTACATCCAAAACTATTATCATTTCTCAGTTACCATTGTGTCAAATTTAAGTTGTTGATCCTCTACAACGTATTATTTTAAGGGGTCATGCAGTAAGAAACATTCTTATTTCACTCTATATAAGTTTACTACGAATTGGTAAAAATTTCCCAACGTCAAATACTTAATATGTCTAGCGTATAAAAAGAACAATGACACAATGAATCTATTCCCGTAGGTAATGGCAAATTTAAGCATGTATAGAAGCTCTATATAACCGTATATTTCATCACAATGTCATATGGTTACAATGTAGCCCATGTTTTGTGTGTAACAATGCATAATAATACAATCAATTTCCCCAAGAGTAATTGGTTTCGAACGCAACGTATTGTAAGTAGCAATGAATGCATTTGCCCATTTGATCACGAATAATGTATGTTAGGCTCAACTAATTTAAAAACACATTTCAAACACGTACTCTTAAACTAATTTTAATTTACACTTACTGGACACATTAATTTAGCCTTTGGTTAGGAATAGGGTGGTAAAAACATTTACAAAATGTATTTGTCATTCATTGTACAATTATTGGTTTTGTTTACTATCATTTAAATAAGTAGTGAAATCATCCAAATATTATTTGTTGTATAAAAAATTATTTCAGTCATTAATGATTAAACGCATTTTTTACAGTGGAAGCTTAAAGAGTCATCTTCGCTCCTGCGAAAACACTAAAACAAGCGTCGGAATTCCCTTGCTCCAGATAGAAATTTTAAAGATGTAATGATATATATACAATGATAAAGCCTAAAGTTGACTCCTATCATTTTCGTATGCATTCATCCAGATATACCACTTTGGCTGTCACCATTGCGTTTCATACACGGATCTTTTGTTCAAAATAAGTTGCATACAAGTTATTTTAAATATTTAAATTTAATATCGAGCTTTTAGTACCGCATGTGAAACCACATTCATGAAAGATAAAAGGTAAATCGGTTCGATAAAAACTTAACTCGTGGTCGTTTGAGGCCACAAAATCAATCAAACTTTTGCGCATCAATCTACAAACTTTTCCAATCGCGGTTAAATTCGAGTTATTTAAACCAAGTTTGAATTCAGTTTAGTTCGTTTTGAGAATTGAAACTTGTGATCGAAGAAGAATGTAATACATATGTATTTTAATATTTAACAAATGCCCGGGGAAATTTTAAAATTCGAAAAACTTTTTGACACATCTTTAACATTTTGTAAGTTTATTCATATTTGCAGATGAACGTTTTGACTCGAATTATAATTGGTTAAAAAAAATACCTATCTTCGTATGGTCGCCATTTCAATTTAAAGTATTTAAGTATTCATTCACATTTCAGGACACTAGGCACAAACCAAACGGTTTCATACACCCAGCTAATGATTGGGTCTTAAGGCCTTGGCTTTATGACATAGCTAAATCAATTTGTCATCGTCGGTATTTTGACCAGAAACTTATA